TTTCAAGTTTGAGTGGTTTAAAGGTAAGGCAAGGAATATCAAATTCTACAAAAGAACGTGCAAGTATAATGCATGTATAATGCATGATACACATTAGAGGAACAAACGCATGGGAAACAACATATTTACACTTCTAAAGCAAGATAACAAGGCAACACTTGAGAAGAACAAAAAAAGAATATATTTTAATCTCAAATCGGCAAGTTTCCCAAAAAGAGAAAAGTAAATTATCATATGTGTAATAAATCCGAATCATCAGAGTACAAATGAACCTTACAGTGCATACCATAGAACTTGATCTTTCCATTCTCAATTATCAGGTAGAACTTCTACTCATTTGAATGGAAAACTCACTACTTTAACCAAAGTAAGACAAACTATTATAAAATTTTAGGAGATATTTTATTTGCCCAAGTATTTTCTACAACTTATCATGTTAATAAATCTAAGGTGCCCATTTTGTCTATTTGAAAAATAATCTACATTGATTCCCAAGACAAGTGGGAGTTGGGATTCCCATCTCTACCATGGACTATTCACATTTCAAGATAGTTCTCCAAATCCCTAAGTCTCTAACAAAATATCAATTATACCCACACTTTATTACCACCACTGCCACTAAAGACACCTCCCTAATAAATTATTACATTACACCATTGTCATAACTACTTTATTCCTGCATTTTCTTAAATCAAATTTATTAATAATACTGTTACAGCCATGGTAGGTATTTCACAATTTATATCAGACTATTAAAAAATGGATAATTCTAAACAAAAAGTTTATAGAACGAAATATAACTTACCATTACTTGTGTAGAATGTATACAGTATTGCAGCCTTAGTTCTCAAAACCTTCAATCATATCCTACAAAATCATGTTAAGCAAACAATTAAGAAATCTCAAAGAACATCCTTATTTACAGAGGCATATAGAATACAAAGAGCCACATAATGACACCGATATATAAGTATTATTACGTAGTATAGCATGCGCAACTTCAAAAACTTTCAGTCTCCACCTCTTAGTCTTGATCTTGGACAAAAAGGAAGTACAATTCAACAGATACAGTTTAGTAGTCCCACACAACGTACATTATATGAAATATATCCTTCTGAAACTAAAAAGGGTATGAGTATTCACAGGGCCGGGTAACCTGCACCCAAACCGACTCGACCCGGTCCAAACAAATTGATTTGGGTGTAAAAGAGTTGCGAAGGGTCGGATCCAACCCGATCCATTCAAACACAATGCCTTTCTTGTTCAGGTAAGGTAAGAGCTTTTATTTTTAACCCGTCAACCCAATGGCAATTGAGCAAACTAGTTGATGTACTTCTTAATTATTATTTATATATAAATATCTTCACATCCATTTATTATTTTTAATCCAAAACAAAATTTAAGTTTTGTGTTTATATACATATATAATAGACTGATTGCCCACAACCTATCGTCCACATGTTGATTCCAGTGGGATTTGACAGAAAAAGAAAACGAACAATCCCGACGCTATTTGATCAGTTTGGAAAATGAAATTAGCGAAATTGGACCCAACCTGACCCGTTTACACCCTACCTACAGAAAAGAGATAAATTATATATATATATATATATATATATATATATATATAAACTCTGGGTATGGGGCATTTTTGTTCTGAAATACCACATCAGAATCTAAATCATGCAAATGCATTTATAAAAAAAGAGACCATTTTGTTATAATCCGAGACAAACAAACCCAAAGAAGCATACATAACAAGAGAGTCCAAAATCGCTGGATCACATTATAATCCAGACAACAGAGAAAGCAATAGTAAAAACAAAAACAAAAGAAACATATCACAGCTCAACAATTTTGTGTCAGTTGACTCTTTCAGAGCAAACACATAAGAAGTAAAAACAGTATAAACTGTAGCCCGGATCTAGTTCAAAGAAACTTGTGAGCACTGAGCAGTGACCTTAACAACAAAAGCTGACCTCAAACTCCACATGCAAAAGTAAAAGAGCAAACTTGAAATCCCCACTAGGATCCCACAAAAAAAAATAAAGGAAATTCCATAAGAAGAAGGTTAGAAGGAAGGAAGCAACGAAAAAGGTGGCTGGTGGAGACAGGATAAGGCAGAATAAATAAGAGAAAGAAACAGTTACAGAGAGAGAAAGAGAGAGAGAGAGAGAACCTTTGGGATCTGGTAAGGTGAAGCAAAGAGAAATAGAATTGTCGGTAGAAATCGGGCATGTCTCCTCTGTGGAAACCCTTTCACAGTTGAGGCCTTCTCTCCAATCCTCTTTTCTTTCTTGGATTTGTTGTTTGTTGTTTGTTGAAGAAGAAGAATACAGAACACAGCCTCCATAAATACACACTCTCTTATGTTTCCTTCTCTCAGTTGGCCCACCCACACCCTTCCTCAATCCTTGGGCCTTGGGCCTTCTTCTTCGGCACTCACCTCTCAGCCGCCCTTCACTGTTCCTCATACTTTCCCTCACGCGCACATGTTCCACCTCCTCCCTCACGCGCTCCACCTGTCCTACTCCAACGAACAACTAAGTCCACGCTCTACTCCGCGCGTTCCTTTTCAATCCCAAAAGTATATCCCAAGTTTCTTACTCATCTTTAACACTCTAATTTAACTTACACTATTTAACATCCGTTCATTGCACCAAATAATATCAAACATTGAATTTTCTTTATTTCTCACCTTTATTGAACTTAATGTCATACTTTCCATTATACCTAAAATACAATGTAGTTTATCGCATATTGTTCGAGCCACATGCTTCTATTACAAACATAATAGGAAAACGAATAAATTTTTAAAAAAATTTATGATAAAATATGAAAAACTTTAGAAGGTAAATTCATTTAATAACTATCGTTGATTAATAAAATATTTAATTAGGCTATATTTTAGCATAAGTTTTTTTAAAAAAAATGCATAATTTTTCATTATTCACTTAATAAATTAATTCGGCCGTTTATACATGAAATTGTTATTAAATTATTTTAAAAAAAACGTAAACATATTCAACAAATATATAAGTATATTTTGCAACAGTATGTAAATAGATTATCATGAAAAATAAATATGAATTTATGTAACATGAAAGGTAGTACACCTGTAAATATAATGATTATATTTATTATAGAATTTAGTTAGTACGATACATAATAAATATAAGGTACTTCAGCAATAAACTTGCTTTATTCTGTATAGGAAATAGATAGAGTTATCGATTTTAGCTTGAAAGTGTTCCACCATTTTCATCTGACTATTGTAAATGATGATAATAAATCCCTAATTTGCCACCTTTGTGTGCGTGATTCTTTAATTCCGGTAAACATAACTTTTGGTATTTTTTAATTTTTTTAATGCTTGGTTAATGATGAAAGGGGTCATTATTGGATGCCACACGGTAATTTATTATTAATTTTGTTGAAACTTGAAAGACATAGTATAATTAATTAATATATGGGTATGGTAGATTAAGCTTATCCTAAAAAGGAGAAAGAAATGTTATATTAGGGAGACGAAGTCTATCCTAATGGATGTTTATTATTTTAATAACAAAAGGTTAACATTCGGTGGCGCCACCTTTTCCACGCTCTCACTTCTCATTGAGTTATCTTCTAAATAAATAAAAAAATGAATTGGTTGTGGATAAGGTTTCACACTCTAAAACAGAATCTATTCTAAAGTTTCTCTGTTCTTTGGAAACAAGGAAAACTAAGTGCTAGAATGTCGGTAGAAGGGAATTAGATAATTTAGACCAACAACAACGTACGACCAAAATATCATGCAATGTAGCGAATTATTTTCGTTTTTGTTTTGTTTCGTTTCTTATGTGAGAAAAAAAAAACATTAATGCAAAAAGTAAAGTTAACTTTCTTTTCAAAATATAGGATAAATACGAGAGAATCCAAAGATATAAGCCACATGTATAAAGAAAGAGTGATGTAATAAAAAAAGTAAAATATGGAGGATAAGTGATTCATACTTTTACCTGATCTGGCAGAGGGAAATGATTCTTGGTTAGCCATAACTGGACAGAGATTGACATTGTTGTGATGGGAAAGCCAGCTAACCGAAAAGGAGGAATAGATTTTAGAAAAATTGTGTTTTTTTTTCGTGTGGAGTATGATGTGATGTATTTTCTTGATTTATGAGTCGTAAAGCTTAATTAAGACAAAATAAAATATATTAGTGGTAGTAATTTATTTGTGGAGCAATGGAATACTATAAAAATTGTCAATATTTGTATTGATGTCAAACAAATTGATCAATATTTGCTAAAAAAAAGTTGATATAGAAGAAAATAAAGAAATACTCTAATTGAACAGTAGTTTTACTGTCCTTGTTATTTAAAGTTGTTAATAAAGAATAAGCTAATATGATTATAGAGTTTTGATATAAATTGAATATTGTGAAGTATTTCATTAAATATGAAGATAAGGAATCGATTCGATGATGTTTGACATTATGAATAAAAATTGGTAAAAACATATAGCGTGGTTTATAAGATCACAAGCGTATAGTTTATCTTTTTGTTGATCTTATCTTATCTATAAGATCAAGGAATGATAATCCCAATTGTTAGCTATTAAATTTAGCTAACTTTTTTTGTGTTGGTTCGGATGTTTTTGCTTTATGATAGCCTTAATCAAGCAATATATATTTCATATTCTTCATATTATCAATAACAGAAAATGCTTTTCTTCTGCAATCTTCTCTGTTTTTATATTCTAAATATCAGTGTACCATAATTTTTCCTAAGCTGCTACATATCAGCTAAATCAGACTCACGCTTGACTTTGCCACAAAGCCTCTGAATCCTTTTTACCTAAACCCAAATGTAACCCTTTCTTTGATTCTTGTACTGTGCTAAATGACAAGAACTATCGCACACGGGTTCGTAAAATGCTCAATTTTTTCAATTTTTACCTATAAGACAAAGTCGTCCGTGCAGCGTAGAAAAAATTAGTAGATTGAAACGGGAGCAGAATAACACTAATACTTGACAATAATAAAATCAATGAATGGAATAACAAATTTCTAGTCAAGCAAGAATCATGGACCTAAAATAAGACGTTGGTACTATTTTTTGGGGGGATGGGGATTGTAAACAGACTCAACACTCCCAATCTGACAAAATTGTATGGCTAAAATCTCAGTAAGCAAGTTGCCGTTCACACTGCCACTGCTATACCAACTCCAGAGCTCATAACATCAGCCCCGTCTTAAAGCATAATAGTTGAAGTAGATAGGATTCTATCGAGTACCTAAGTATTGATGTGAGGATGAATCTGATCAGAAAAATAGCAACAGAAAAAGTTACTTAGATAACTGTCAACGCAGAAAACAAGTGAAAATGTCAACTGGAAAAACCATACGTTAAAGCTAAAATATTTTCTTCATCTTAGACTCTACTTATCAGAAAGTCACATTGGACTCACAACTAATGCAAGTGAAGACAAGTCCTGTTTCAGGGGGAAAGCACTCCCGGTAGTTACTGTTTCTGTTTGGATAAATTTCTGCTTAAGTACTGATAGAAGAAGGAAATAAGAAGACAGAATATATAGATCTTCTCCCATCAACTAAAATCAGGTTAAATATACCAAATTTGAAAGAGTTAAATGAGAAGGCTAATATGAAAATTAAGTTCACAAGTAGACTTCAATTTGTGACTAATTTTACCTTCTTATTTTGTCATTCTGTAAGTGTTTATGAAGAGGTTTATTCAAACAGAACCTTACACCAATAGATATTACTAGTTAACTAACATATAGACTCCACTTTTATATGATTCTAAAGCCAGAGATTTTATATCTATAAACTGGCCAAGTTCCATTATCGTATGAAGAACATAAAATGTTGAGAGCAATAATTTAAAAAACTGGACAAAACCAATTAGTCGAACTAGTTATGTCTAACTAGTTCAATTGTGGTCCAACTACAAATTCAACCATTTGAACCACTACATAACCAGTTCAATCTCCGGTACATTTTATAAGCATTGATCCAAAACATTGTTTGGTCAAATAATCTACCCACATGAAAATGATGAGATAGAACACAAACATCTTGAGTGAATATCACAAGCATCAAAATAAACGCTGATTCGAATGTTACCTAACCTTTCACTTAAGAATGGGACTAGAAAATTGAACGATTTACACTATGCTTGGGCCAAGACCAAGGCCAGGGAGTGAACTTACCAGTTACCACGTGAACCTAAAGATCCAAAATTATCTTTTCAGACCATTTGAAAATTTCGGAGTGCACTCTATCGCCACCTAAGTCCTCCCCAGAGGCTCCAGCAGCTACTCGTATAATATCTTCAAGCAATGCAAAGTTACCCAATATGTCAACATGAGCGCCACTCTGAGTTCCCCTACCTTCTAGAAGATTGGCCGGAGGGGCGTGATCATACTCCCTTATGAATGTACGAATTCCTGACGGATTAAAGCGTGTCCTTCCCCGCCAACCTTTGGCACACATGAAACCAGCACTTAAAACAGGAACAGTTTCATCACCATCAGAACTGTAAACCCCATCCCTCAGACATGAGTACTCGTTTCCACCATTTGCTGAGGTGTCAATCTGAAATGGAATGTAGCATTCAGATTGAGGAGTTAACTTGTAGACATATGCTCTTTCTGTAGGGATTCCAACTCCATACATAGAGTAAATCTCCATATCTGGAGCATTTGGTAATCTGTAGCAGCAGAAAAGAATCTTAAAAATAACACAAATCGCAGGCAGGAATAGTTAAAGCAATAATCCATTAGTTCCACCAATCTAGGTATTACACAGTCATGAAGTGCTATGCAATGGTAGAATTCTTTAACACAAATCACAGGCAGCAGGAAAAAATATTAGAAGAGTATAACTCTAAAAAATATCTGGAGCATTCGGTAATCTGCAGCAGCAGGAAAAAATATTAAAAATAATACAAAACTACTAAAAACATTATATTTCAAATATAGCATGATATGAAATTATTGATAATAGTTAAAGCAACAATCCATTAGTTCCACTAATCCAGGTAACAAAATAACTACACAGTAGTGAAGTGCTACGCAGTAGCAGAACTCTTTAACCCCCCACCCCACGAACCCAATTGAGCTAGAACGCTGTGTTTGTTTTGTATAAAATTAAATCAGAAAGGCTTTGGATGAAGGAAAAATAAATAGCACTCAGTTGAATTTCATCTTTTATAAGGATTGAAATACAAAAACAGAATCAAAGTAAAGAACCTCACGTTGTTTCCAAGGGGTTAGACCAATATTTATAATGTTTGTATTTTTCATCATCCAAGTCATCAGCAATTCCATAAGAAAAATGAGCATCTCCGCGTTTCATCATCTTGGGGGCGACAAAATGAAGCAGATCCAAAACTGAATCAGCTGTGTAAGCTTTGTAATCCGTAACAGCTTTGATTCCTTCAACACCCATATCATGGTACTCTGTCCACACATCACAGTTAGATGTGTTGGCAAGATTCCTACCCTTGAGAGCACCCTGACAATTTCAACACGTAATACATGAAACTCAATAATTCCTGTCAATTTCAAGAAATAATACATGAAACTCAACAATGCCATTCAGAAAAACAATTGAAGCTAACTGCACATGGTTAAGAAGTATCCACAGTTGGAGAATGTTGAGATTTGGGAGACAGATAAAGGGGAACTTCCAAGTTCCATCTGTAATTGCATTTGATAAAGGAGCAATTTTCTCTTCAACTTGAGGGCAAATGAAAAGGTCATATACGTAGCAATTATTTTAGATTGGAATTGATAAATGAAAGAAAATTACATAACCATGAAAGTTCATATACAAACGAAACTCGGCTGTTTGACTACTTAAGTTAAATCATCTGAATTCTTGATATTCTGTTATTTAGTATGGGATACTCGGTAGATTATTTAATGTTTGGGTCTCCCCCTTTAACAGCTTGCTTTTAAGAATGAGTTAGTGTTTGGATGTTTATCAATTGATATCATATTTTGGTTGTCCACTAAAACCTATGGAAGAATCTTGTCTAGTTGAGGATTCTAACCAACAAGGAATTTGAGTGAAGTAGAGTGACCTATGAGTGTAAGCAATTAAGATATCAGCTCTTAAAAAAGAAATGTAATGATACAAATTTGAGTATTCTGATGTACCTAAGTCCTACATGGACTGGCATGGGATGCTCAGAGGAGTATCTAAGTACTTGATTCTCCCCTTTTAATAACTAGCTTTTATGGTGGGTTCCCCAAGTATCCTAGTGTTTTATCATATTCAAAAGGAAAAAATCAGGTATGCCTCCCAAGAAACATTAAAAAAACGGATAGAGATTATAAACAAAATACTCAATATAAACTAGGAACATTACCCTAAAATCCAACCTCTCAAGCTTGGAGGAGTGTAACTCGGCTATATCTTTCCCAAACGATATGAGTCTTCCATAACTATTATTTTTCATAAGCCCAAGACTCTCTTTGTCATTTTGAAAGGCATTGTGAGTATCATTGTTCTTGCGTTTCTTCACACTGCAGTTATAGGACACATCAGGTGACCAGTCAAGGCTACCCCATATAGTATCCCCACCTTTGGGTATCATTGACATCGTTGAATCCCATGTTCGAGTCATCCGCATTAGATGTTGTAAAGTTTGAAGACCAAAAACATCCTTCTCCAAAAAACCTGGTGCGAAAGTCCTGTATGAGGTTTAGCGATTTATGAATCAGGACTTCATCTATATATTATATTACAATATCGTATATTTATGTTTCACAGCTAACACGAAAAATATCATCAATTGAAATTATAGAAATTTTCACCCAAGCAAAGCTTGAAAAAATCCCTATATATATATATATCAAAGAAACAAAATTTTGGAAATCTCAGAAACAGATCAACAACATTAAAAGCTAGCTTTTGGAGGAGAAAAGTCTGCATAAAATTAACAGATGGTTGACTTATTAAAAATTTTGATAAAAGCTTGAGCTTTTAAGGGGTAACAGCACAAATACATCAATCACCTAGTGACTTATTATTCATTACACAACCGCTTTCTACTGATATATATTCTATATATTTGTTAAACACAATCTAAAACCTACTTGTCAAGAGACACAGAAACTTTGGGTTTCAAAACTACAGAGAGAAAAATAGTGGTAAAATAAGAACCTGGCAACTGCAATATCCCTGGCTTCTATTGAGAAAAGTCCCGCAACAGATTTTGGAACACCGAGAAAAGGTCCCCAAATGTTCATCACTGCTTTAATATGTTTGGCACACCAATCTGATCCACCCCCTCCACCCATTGGTGCTGGTGCCTCAACCCATTTCATAAAATGCAAAAAGTACAAAACACCCATTGAATGTGGAATAACAACCACCTTCTTACCACCATTTGTAGCCACCATGAGTTCTATATTACTTTTTATCCTGCTCAAAGATCGATCCCTTACCTGGTCAAATGAAGCAGGAAAAAAAGAAAGTTCACCTGAGGGTTAACCATAATTGAACCGGACTACAAAATAAAGGTTGGCAGAGAATCATGAATCTTTGTAAGTAACAGAGGACTACCTCTGTATTCTGAAATGAAATTCTCCAATCGTAAGCAGCCATATACATGTTCTTCTCCTCATACCCAATGCGAGCTAAATTAGCAATTAGAACGGCCCAAACAAAATAACCAGGTGCAAAATAATCAGCTGCTACAAGTCCAGAAACTGGCCTAACTCTAATGCCTGGACGGTCTAGTCCTGTTTCATTATCTAGTGACATGTGTTCAACCCAGCATAACGGTCTGCAGAAGGTTAAAACAGAAATCATATACCATTATAGATCAATTATATTTGAATCTGTAAACATGCATAAAACAAGGACTTAAAATAAATATACTTTCCAATGAAAAAAAATGGACAGATAAAAGCATAGCAAGACAAATATTGGAAGGGCTATGATCATTAAACATTTGAATCAAACTCCCCAAACTCTGCCAAACAACCGGAATTCATTAAGTGCCCAAAAAAAGGGTTCAGCAATGCGGATCCAAAATGAACTTGTATGTGTAAGAACTCTGCCTTATAATTAATGATACAAAGGATAGCAGAAAAAATTATTCCCTCTACCAAATGATTCAAATGTTATGACAAAAACATACAAAAGGAAAAGTACAGAATACAAACCCATAAGTAACTGTAGATTGTAATGCTTCCATTCACGCCCATCGTGTTTCCCATCTTAACAAAAATCAGTAAATTTTGACAGAAGAATAGAAGAAAAGGTACTTCCGAGAGAATGTTGCCAATTGCTTTCCACTATATATTTTTGGGTATAATTCGTAACTCAAAAAAAGCATCACCACAAAAAGAAGCATTGGCGATTTAGCAGTTTTCAGCATCCAGTAATCAAGAAACATGGCATTCAAATTCAACTTACTCCCCTCCCAGTAATGCCAACAGACAGTATTTAACTGAACTCATTCACCCAACGCAAATTTATCCAACGCTCTAAAACGCCGTTCGCTTACTTCCCAGTCAAGTAATACAATATTTACAAGCAGCTTTTCCAATTGTATATAAATAGTTCACACAACACGTCACTCAAGCACATTCAAATCCCAATATACCATAAAAAGAAAGAAAGAAACGTACCTTTTATACAATTCACCAAACGTGCCACCCCACAACCTCTTCCTGAACAAACCATCCGCACACTGACGACCCTCCCAGAGTTCCAACCCACCGGTGACAATACCCGGCACGAAAACCACCGGGTGCTCCGCCGTCAACCCCTCCTTACTCAGTTTCACTCCGGGAGGATCCGGCAACGGCCCCGTAATCGCCTCCGTCACGTACTGAGGGAACGATGCCGGCATTGCATTGTACAAAAACAGTAAGAACCACCAAATTGAACATATCATTCCAATGAACCAACAACAACCATCCATGCACGACCATTTCCTTATCTTTTCTCCTTTGATACTCCTCGCCTTGACCTTTTTCTCCTTCTCCTTTTCTTCCTCGTTCCGCACAGGATTCGCAGGGGCCTTTCTCCGTCGTATATACGACATCGTATAAAGGAGTAGAAAAACAAAAAGCGAAAAAAAGCTTTAAATGGTGTGAAAATGAAAGCTGTTCATTAATGGAGGAAGAGGCCCTGAGCTGGAGGATTCTGTGGCAGCGACGTGTAAGGTTCCAATTATGTGACGGATACCCGTCGGAACCCTAACCGCCGGTGATCGGAGAGGAAAATTCGCCGATGCGCCGTGGAGGGATCTGATTGGCCGTCGTGCCGGGTCGTGGTTGTTTAAGTTGTTATGTGGCTGTGTGCGGTGCCTGGGTCCCAGAGTGAGAATAAAGGTTTTAAGACATGGACACGTGGCGCGACCGTGAACTGATGGAGTTGTATCAGATTAGCTGTTTCTGAAGCCCGTGTGATGTGAAGTGTTGATGCTGCTCCAACGGTGAATTACCGTATAAATAAACGGTGGCGATTGAACCTGATATTAACAACAAGCACACTGTTTATTCACATTGAAGCATGGCAGTGAAAAGTTTGGCTTTTGTGGGGAAGGTTTTCTTGCTTTCTGGACATTTCCTATACTTCTACCAATTGGATTTCGACTTTTCCATTCTTATCTTTTTTATTTCAGTACTTTTATATGCTTTTATTAAGTAAATATATATTATGATAATATTTAATTTAATATTATTTCTCCTGTATGTGATATGATGAGATATCTTCTTTATACTATATTTTATTGGTGGTCCCAAAAAAATATATACGATTTATTCATTAAATGACAAATCAAAATGAATATATATATATTTGCGCGTGTGTCCGAATAAAATATTTACTTTAAAAAAACTGTCCGAATAAACTTATTTTTACTTTAATTTTTAAAACATTTATTTATTGTTTATATTAATTAGACCGTGAAAATATTTTAGCATATAATTACTAAAGAATTATACAGTATTATTATTGATATAACTTTTGAATAATAATTATAAAAGTCAATAAAATATCGTAGTGATATGCAACTAAATATTTATTTTATACTGCAGAATACATTCTGCTTTTCTTGTTTAAAATTTTTAATCCTTTCGAATCCAAGTATTTTTCGTTCTAAATGTATATCATTTTTTTCAATTATTCTTAAAAAAATTACATCCGCACCGTGAATTATTGTTATTTCTAATGGAGGTAAAGATAGTTTAATTATTTTATACTTATATATTTTATTTAAATTAGCAGTGATTTGTACTAAAATCAAATATTTTTAATTATTTGATTATTTTTTATTCATAGTTTAACATAAATGTATTGACATGGAAAAAAAATCATTAACAAGGAATATGCTGATAATTAAATTAATTTGTTTACTTTATAGATTATAAATAATATATTCGTTATTTTATATAAATATTTTTTAATTTCTACATGTTTTATTATAGCACACATTGTCTTAATTTTTTAAGAAAAAGTTGTGACTTAAAAAATATATTTTTACTTATTATTATCATATTATAATAAATAATATTTTAAATAAAAGAAAAAAGACTCACTGAAATTCTTGATTATTAATATTTTTAGAATTAAAAATGCAAAGTAATTTAATTCGTTAAAAACCATTTAATTTAACGAGTTTAGTTATTAAAGTGTTAACTAAAAATAAGGCATAATTTAAATTTTTTAAGTAGTTATAATGTTGATAAGTTCGTGATTTTAATAATTAAGTATATGTAATTAGCATATTTGATGAAGAAAAGGCATGAATTTGGATACATGTTTAAGTAACAGGCAAAGGAGATGAGCAGTGTTTGGTGGCAATGATGACAGAAGAAAAAACTACTACTGTAGTGCTGCTGCACCTTTCCTTATACCTGAAGACCTACTCTCCATCATAGTCTCTGCAGAGGAGTCGGGTAAGTTAATTTGATACCAATCATTATCACCAAACTATATACTACCTAACATTCTTTGTCCCATTTCCAAAAGTTGTATTATTTCACCTTATTCACTCATAATACTTTATTTCAAAGAAATTAAAACAAAAGGATTAACTTTGACTTTAGTTATTTTATATTATAACTTTTTTTTAATTTTACCCAACTATTTTTAAATTCTTAATTTGATTACCTTAATACTTGTTTTGATCTCATGATTCATCATGGTTTTATTTTTAAATATGCATTTTGAATGATGGAATAAAAAAATAGTATTGAAACTGTTTTAATACTAACTTCTAAATTATATGAAATTATTATATGTGTTACAACAAATTTTATATTTATAATAATGATAATAATACAATAAGGGATAAATATTAGTTCTAACAAAAAAAATAATGAATTTTAATAAAATTACATTGAATTTTTTTAATTTATCAAACACATTTGATGTTAATATTTGAGTTATTTTTTGTTCGTTTCTATAGATATTGAAGTGAAGATAGGTGAAAATTTGGAGAATATAAAAAATTTTCATTCCTTAATGATAGTGTAGATTTGAAAGTGATTATAATGAAAAGTCGTTTTTACCCCTTGTATCAATATATAAAATTGTATGGAATAGCTTCTCCAGGGTGGGTGGGTGCACTATTGTAATAAGATAATCAATTATAATTATGAAACTTGGATAGTTTTAATAATAATGATAATATATTAATAATAATCTTCAATTTTTACCAATTAAACAATTTTTTTATCTGTCACATTAATCAAATCTTATACTAATTTTTAGAAACTTTACTTTTAAATCTACTATCACTCACATCCAAATTCACTCAAATAAACAACAAAAAATTTATCATCAAATCCCACCAAATCTGTTCACTCACTCTCCGCCATATCATCTCCTGTGTGCATTGGTGTTGAATATACATGATTGTGTGTGTCTATTTTGAGCTTTCTGATGTAGAAATTTGATATTAGAGTTTAGAAAATAAAAATAAAAATAATGGGTTTCATTGGAGATCGAATATTCCATTGAACATCATTGCACAATATATTTACACATTTTTACTTACTGCAAATGTGTTTTGCCACACTCTCATGTTGTTTTGTCACATCACCACACCGTTTACACGTTTACGGAAAATCAACAAAATTTGACATTTTCCTAAAAACGGAAACCAAATAAACACACTACTCTGACCGTGGGAATCACCCAAACAATTAAGCCTAATAATAATTAAAATGGAGATCAATAACTAATCATAAATAAAACAAACCAAATAAGTCAAATTAAAATAGTTAACAAAATAAAAAAAATGAATTTTGAAATTCGAAAGAATAAGTAACCAAATTTTAAAATCTAAAAGACTTGTAAACCAAATTTCAAAATCTAAAATATTAAAAAATGAGATTTCAAAATTCGAAACATTCGTAAACTTTGAAATCCAATACACTCATTATATATTTCAAATCTGGTATGTTCAAATAGACCACTCTTATATTAGATTTTAAAATATGGTACACTTGTACACTAAATTTCCAAATTTACGACACTCGAACACAAATTTTGTATTTTGATATGTTCAAAAAGTCGAAACACTCCTAAATCTGGATTTCAAACTCCGAAACATTCACATACTAAATTTAAAATCCGATAATTACTTTAAACAATATTTTATATAATGCAAACCAGATTTAGAAAAATAATAAATTATGAATAACTCGGGAAAAAAACATTGAAAATGGAGGAGAAGATAGTAAATATCTCTAAGCTTCAACCAAAATAATAAAGATGAAATAAAAATGCAAAACACCGTTGAAGAATAGTAAAAGACTTACGCTTAAAGGAAGAAGAAGAACAAAAAAAAAACGCAAGAAGAAGAACGAAAAAAAAACGCAGTTAAATATGATCTGTGAAAATGACTTGGGGATGCTGAGAGAAGTAATTATAGCATACCAATCGTAAATATGGTGCGTAAGCAATTCCTACTGTTTATCTAATTAATTTAATTATTTAAATATATATTATGTGGGGTTATAATGGGATAACAATGATAAATGGGGTGCAGGAATTAAAACAGTGGGTGCAGAAAAATACCTATCACTTTTGCAGATTGCAATTGGGCCTTTATTACCGAAAAAACATTCTGGCGAGCCCAGACCCAAGAAAGCGAGGAGTGAGTTCTTTGAAAACCGGGCAAGCAAGTACACAACTTGAAAAGACAGTAGGCGCGAGAGGAGTGAGAGGCGGTTAACATCCGGTAACCGGTAATCCCACAAGACAGAAAAAAGTGAAATCCACAATAACAGACAGCACTCCTCTTGCACCATCATAGCTTCTACCGAACCAAGCAAACCAAAAATAGCAATAAGATCACACACCCCACTCTGCCGGCACCGGAGACTTCACCACCGACTCCCTCACCATGCTTCCTCTTCCCTCTCTCTGAATTTCAATCCCCACACAATCTCTCATATTGTAACTGAATTCAATTCCCGCATTAATTAGATTTGCTGCGTCATGGCTTCCATTAGCGCAACCACTTCGGTTTTCGCGCCCTTTTAGTCCTCCCCGCTCTTCGCTTCACCAACTCACGCTCAGGTGCAGCTTGTGTGCTATTCTCTTTCTTTCGATTTCATGTATCCGATTCTGCAATGCGAGAGCAGTGGAATTTGATTTTCTAACTTTTTACTTTTTATTCTTATTTTTTCGCAGAGATTTAATTGAATTTTATTATCACTACGAAGCGAGAATGCTTACGTGCATAGCTCGTCCGAAGAAACCTGATGAGTCAGATCCAAACAACGCGACAACCGCTGCTAAATCGCAAGCCATCAAATCCCTTACTTCTCAGGTATTGTACAAGACGAAGCGACGAAATGGAAAGTTCATAACGATAGAGACTTGTTGATTTTCGTGTTTCCTTTTTTAATTGTGAATTTAGATAAGGGATATGGCGTTGAAGGCTTCGGGTGCGTACAAGCATTGCGCTCCGTGCACAGGGCCAGCGGCGCAGGTGCGAGTGCGGGGCAACACCGAGTCGGACGCGGACTCCGACCGGTTCCGGTGGTCGTACCGGCGGACAGGGAGTTCAAGCTCGACGACGACTCGGACGTGGGGGAAGGAGATGGAGGCGCGGCTAAAGGGGATATCGAGCGGGGAGGGGACGCCAAACTCCGCGAGCGGACGGCGAGCGGAGCCGTTGGTGCTGTTCGTGGAAGAGAACGAGCCGAAGGAGTGGGTGGCCCAGGTGGAGCCTGGCGTTCTGATTACCTTCGTGTCGTTGCCAGGTGGCGGTAACGATCTCAAACGCATACGGTTCAGGTACGTCCTACTGCGTTATGTTACGAAACGTTATCTTACGCGTCTCGTGCTGTGTTTGAAATGGGGGCGACAGTACCCGTGGTGCGGTTGTTTTCGTTGCCGTTGGGGGTATTGACCGGACGGTGAGTGTGGTGACAGTGTGTAGGGTTATGGTTGGTCGCTGTTTAGATCGTCCAGACTGTGATGATGACAACGAGTGCCTTTTGCTACGGTGGATTGTCAATTTCTCACACCTCATTAGTAGGGTCCTTTTCGCCTCTTTTGCA